TTTTTTTTTTTTTTTTTTTTTTTTTACCAACAATGTAACATGGTTTGAGACCAAGTCTTTAGTTTGCTTAGGGCCTAACTAAGTTTCTGAGGCTGGCTTTGAACTTGCGATCTTCACATCTCAGCCTTCCATGCCCTCTAATATTTTTTAAATGAAATGTACACCTTGATTAGAAAATGTATTTTTAAATGAAATGTACACCTTGATTAGAAAATAATTGGGAAATGTAGCTCAAGGAATCGTGTTTAAACCAGGCACAGTGGTATATGCCTCTAATCTCAGCGCTTAGGAGAATTAGTTCAAGGAAGTCTTGGCAATTTAGCAAGTTGTCTCAAAAATTGGGGGCACAGACTGCCACTGTGGCACATACCTGTAATCACAGTGGCTTGGGAGGCTGAGGGAGGAAAATTGTGAGTTCAAAGCCACCCTTAGCGGCTCAGAGAGGCCCCAAGGAACTTAGTATTTTATTAAAAATGGCTGGGGATGTGGCTCTGTGGTTAAGCGCCCATGGGTTCAATCCCTGGTACCAAAAATAAATAAATTTTAAAAATGGGGGTGCAGCTCAGGAATAGGGTGCTCCTGGGTTCAGTCCCCAAACCCACTGCATCCCAGAGCGGGAAGCAGGGCTGGGAGAGTGAGAGAGAAGAACAAGTGCTTAATTGAAATATGGGCAAGTTAAGAAAGCACTTTGATAACCAGAGAGAGAGAGTTACATGAAGGTATCTCCTTTATACTAAATCTTGAAAGAGAAGTAGCTCAGGAGAGGCCAATTAATGCAAAAAGAGTTGAAAAAAGGAACCTTTGCCAGGATTACAACAGAAATGGAAATTTCAAACTGTTGCCCAGGTCATCACTTCAGAAAATGTGTTCTGTAAGAAGTAAGGATGAACAAGAAGGTTGACAGTTGTTCTGTGGAAAAAAATTTTGTTTCTGACAATTTCATTTTTAAAAGGTATCCTTAAAAAAAAAAAAATCTGTGTGTGAGAAATTACCAGTCATTCTTTGGTATCCATAGGGGATTGATTCCAGGACCCCCTTGAATATCAAAACCCAAGCCCAAGTCTCTTATATAAAATGCCATAATATTTGCATATAACAATCATATTTTACACTTTAAATTGACTATATATTCCTTATAACTAACACAAAGTAAATGCCACATAACTATTCTACTGTATTATTTAGGAAACAATGACAAATAAAATAAGTCTGTACATAGTCAGAACAAAGGCGATTTTTTTCTAAATGTTTTTGGTCCAAGGTTGGTTGATTCTGTGGGTGCAGAACCCATATATATGAAGGGTCAGCTGCATACTAATAAAATTGTACATGGGATTGTTCTGTAACAAGTGGCCTTGTGAGAGTACAGCACAATAATTAAGAGGATAGATTTTTGTGCCAGAGTGATGGGTTCAAATCAATGCTGGCTATATACTAGTAGTGCACAGTGAGTAACTGTGCACTGGTCTTTGCATGGGCAAAATGACACTACTGCTACCACTTTCTTCATGAGGTTGTTGCCAGGGTTAAGTGAAATACATTATAAGGAAAATGCTTAGAAACATGGTCTGGGATATAGTACGTGATATGGATGGACTTACGGGCCATACCTAAGAATATCAGAGATGACTTGACATGGGGTGAGGGGCCTTTGATATTCAAGTCAGTGCATTGTCAGCTTAAATATTAATAATGGCCATGCTATGTTATTGTTCAACAAACATTAACTTGTTGGCTACTGGTTTGTCTTAATAAATGTGATGTACCTTCTTTTAGAGTATATTACTATACTTTTTACTTTCACTAAAAGTTAATTAATGTATAAGGCTAAAAAAACATATAAATCAAAATTAAATGTTTTCAATTTTAGTGATTCTGCACCAAAAATTAGATCACATTGTGCTGTCTAGTTTAATCCAAGTACATTTCATAAATTCCTGTAATATTTTGTAAAGACAAAAACAATTTTGGAAAGGTTTAAATTTTTGGAAAATGCTGAACTGTACATGAAATGACTAAAATGTTGACCAAAGGTACAAGACTGCCAAAATACCTGCATTAAACCTTTCCAGTTGGACTGTGGACTATTTAGATGACCTTGTTATGCCATTAAAGATATCACTGATGACTATAGGTGAACATTTTTTTTTTTTTGAGATGGTTGTCTCATTATGTGTTGCTTAGGCTGTCCTCGAATTTGCAATCTCCTGCCTCAGCCTCCCAAGTAGCTAAGATTATAGGCATCTGCCATGATGTTCAGCCTATTTTATCAATTGAATATAACTTGACTACAGGGCTGGTCGACACTGTATTGGTGCCAATAGATTCACATTAACATTTTTTGGGATACCAGGATTATATTTAATACACTGCCATGTAGGAATGTACTGGTATTCACTGTGGCAATAATATTAAGTGAGGGACTGAAAGTTTAGCCAATGCTTTGTATTTTTTGTCATTTCTGAATTTTATAAAAAGTTTAGCCTGCTACAATATTTAGTTCCTCTTTTCACCTTAAATAATGAGTGGAATGTCAATTATTCTTGGAAGGAAAGCAAGCAGGAGGCAGAAAATAGTAATTTTTTAAACATTTTGGGTTTGATGCATCAAAGAGAATCTAAAAATTATGGACTCTCTCCAAAAAACTACACATTTTTACAATACTTAGTATATTTTAGGGATGTGAGTAATGTTTCTCAAAGTATCATCCATGGACCATTTGCTTCCAAATTTCTCGAGGTTCTAGTTAAGTTCAGATTCGTGAGTCCTACTACTGGTTTGAAATCTCACCAGATCAGGCCCAGAAACAACAGCAACAACAACAATCATCATTATTATTTTTGCTGTGCTGGTGATGGAACTCAGGGCCTTACATATGCTAGGTACTAGTGCTTCACACATTAGGGAATCTCTCTACCACAGAGCCACAACCCCAGCCCCAACATCAACATTTTTTTTTTTTTTTT